ACCTACGACAACTTTGTTTCGTTAGTTGCTGAATGTGTATGGCAGATAAGAGATAAAGATAAAAGATGTAAAATATGGAACAAACAAATAAGACCAGCAGCTTTTGAGTTAAAGAAAACCATTGACGCCTTAGTTGTTTTAGCAGGTAAGGTTTCAGAATATAACGCAAAAATGAACCCGCAATGTTCAAAATGTAAGGCAGCAATGAGGAGATATAACTACTCCGTCAAAGAGATAGAAAGAATGAGAAACGACTATGCTGACTTAAAGAAAGAAGCAGAGAAGCCAGCAGAAGATAAAATGGACATGTTAGAATTTCTGAACAAAAACTATCCAACTGCTGACGATTTCCTTCTATCTGACGTCAAGAAGAAATATAAAGAGACTTTCGGCATAGTTAAAACATTCGATATCCTCAGCGAAGAAATAGAAGCTACAAAACTGTTTAGAGTCTCACGAATTCATAACGTTTACCATGTAAAACGCTTATAAAATAACTGGGGTAGAAAAGAGGTTAGAAAACAGGCTAGATCTAACCTCTTCACCTAAAATATATTTTTGCCGAGTAAAATGACCAAATTTCATTATATAACTGTTATTTTTGACGAAGAGAACTTTTACACTTCGTAAAAAAAATCCCTGAAATCATATCTTTTATACAAAATTCAAGAGGTGAGAAAACAGGTGAAAAAACAGGTGAGATCGCACCTCTTCACCTAAAATATATTTTTGTCTGATTTACGCTCATTGACGATGAAGTTTTGACAAAACATATACGAAGAAGTTTATTTCCTGTGTTGTTGTCAAAATGTCATGTTGTCACTATTTTCAAAAAGATGTTAGTTGACCGAGGGACCGAGGGACCGAGGGACCTGGTGACCCTCATGAAAAAAAGAGGTGAAAAAAGAGGTGAGAAAAGAGGTGAGATCTAACCATCTACCCTAAAATATATTTTTGCTGAAAAAATGACCAAATTTCATTATATAACTGTATTTTTTTGACGAAGAGAACTTTTACACTTCGTAAAAAAAATCCCTGAAATCGTGAAAAAATGACCAAATTTCATTATATAACTGTTATTTTTTTACGAAGTGAACTTTGACACTTCGTAAAAAAAATCCCTGAAATCGTAAAAAAATGACCAAATTTCATTATATAACTGTTATTTTTTGACGAAGAGAACTTTTACACTTCGTAAAAAAAATCCCTGAAATCGTGAAAAAATGACCAAAAATCATTATATAACTGTTATTTTTTTACGAAGTGAACTTTGACACTTCGTAAAAAAAATCCCTGAAATCATATCTTTTATACAAGATAGAAAATCTTACTCGCCTAAAACTCATGAAAATCGTAAAAAACAGCGAGTACGTAAAAAATCTTACTCGCCTAAAACTCATGAAAATCGTAAAAAAAATGACCAAATTTCATTATATAACTGTTATTTTTTGACGAAGAGAACTTTGACACTTCGTAAAAAAAATCCCTGAAATCATATCTTTTATACAAAATAAAAAATAACGTTAGTTTTTTTAAAAAAATATTTTTTATTTTGTATGTAAAGACATATATGTCAAACATTGAGTTTGAAACAGTTAAAAAGATAGACAATGACACCAAAGTGGTTAGAATTGGTGATTTAAACGTAAGATACTCAAAGAAATACAACAAATATTCTTTGTCAGACATTATATCTCCATCTGGAAAGAAAACATACCATTGGGTTGGAATTGCTTCAACTCAGAAAATTTTGACAAGAAATCCTGAGCTTATGATATCGGTAAGATTCTATGGAACTACAGCATATCTCATTGACAAAAGTCTTATACCAATAGTTTTGTTATGGATAGACCCAGTTGTTGGATATAACTTCATAACATATGGTTCATTCGATACGGAACGTTGCAGTGAAGGCTTACTTTACATCGTTCAGAAACCGAAGGACTTCAATACAAAGAGATATAAGATAGGAAGAACATATAATATAACTCAAAGATATGACAGTACAGTCAATAGAGTCAAGGTTGTGTTTGTTAACGATATGAGAGCTGCAGAAACAGAACTACTTGAAAAGTTTGAGAAAATGTATGGTGCTCCCACGAAAGGTAAAGAAACGTTTGAAGTAGATGAGATAGATAAAGCTATAAAATTATTTGACGAAGTTGCTGAAAAATACATGTAAAGCGTTTATTTTTGGTCTTGACTTCAGATGGCTCAGGTAGCTCTATAAGGTAAATTGCCTTGTCAAATCCTTCTGGCATTCCGAGTCCTTCCTTCCGACAGGAAAAAAATTTCCTTCTGGCATTCCAAGTTCTTCCTTCCGACAGGAAAAAATTTTCCTTCCGACAGGAAGAACTCTTCCTTCCGACAGGAAAAAATTTTCCTTCCAACAGGAAAAAATTTTCCTTCCGACAGGAAAAAATTTTCCTTCCAACAGGAAAAATTTTTCCTGTTGTCCGTCCGTAAACCATTCAAATTTTCGAAAATTGAGAACTTTTTGGTCGAACTTCAGAAAAAGTTTTTCTTTCCGACAGGAAAAAATTTTCCTTCCAACAGGAAAAAATTTTCCTTCCAACAGGAAAAAATTTTCCTTCCAACAGGAAAAAATTTTCCTTCCGACAGGAAGAACTCTTCCTTCCGACAGGAAAAAATTTTCCTTCCGACAGGAAGAACTCTTCCTTCCGACAGGACACAAACGAATGTCCGACGTACCACCAACCGAGTCCATTCCAAAGCCAGAAGAACCGACAGCCCCAGCACCACAACAGACTAAGACTAAACACTTACATTTTTTACGCTTGACTTTTTACAATTTGAACTTTGTTTGCGTAGATATGAATTCTGAAAGAAGTATGAGGGTCTTGTATGACTTTGTACTTCTCCCATAGTTCATGTCTGTCAAACTTACCTGCCATGGACTCTTTCATAAGTTCCATGAAATCGTCTTCGGACAATCCGGGGAAAAGTACAATGTCAGTAAGTATTCTCTTTACATCCTTACTTAAACTCTTTGCTGTCTGTACACAAATGACAACTGAGATGTTAAAGTGTCTGAGCTTCTTAAGAATTCGACACATGTCTTGTTCTCTATTCTTTAACAAAGGATGAGAGGCGAAATCATCTAAGATAAGAAGACATCTGTGAGGGTAAGTCTTCCAATCGTAAGATTGCAATTTCTTCGAAATGTATTCTATCTCTTTCTGTTTGTTTCTGAAGTGTTTCTTCTCTAATATTCTCTGCATTTCCTCATTTGGGTCTTTAAACTTAGAATTTATATACTCATTTATAGCATTATACTTCAAAACTCTTCTTTGGTACTTCTTTATCCAATCTAACAACTCAGTATCCTTTATACATACTAACTTAGACTTCTTTATAATATCTTTGAACGAATTGACGGTTTGGTCAAATTGACCAGAAGTACTACAAATAACAACTAACTCATAGAATGGGTTCTTCTCATCTAGTTCTTGTTGTTGTGCAGCCATTTTAAGATAAGTGAAAGTCTTACCCGACCCAGGTGGTGCAATTAGACCTGTTATACCATTCTGAGCAAATAAGAACTTGTCATGTATGGGTTTTATCTGAGCATTTTCTAACTTCCTCTTGTTCTTCTTCAAAACATTCTCAAATTTTTTGTCAATGTCAGCAAACTTTTTTTCTAACATATTTTTAGAAAAATTAAAATTTTTATCTTTTAGAAAATGTCTAGCGATTTCGCCATCTATATTCGAGACAAGCTTTTCGACAGCAAAACATCTGTCGACCATAAAATCTTACATAGTGTAAACAAGAAAGGTGAATTTGTTCTAAAGTTCTGTTTCTGGGAATATGACAAGAACCATAAAACATTAAGTAGAGCAGTCTTAAAATTTGTCAATGACAGACTTGTTGACAGAGATGACGCCGATTGGAAAGATGAAGTCCAACAAAAGTTCTTAGAATGCAAAGAAGACACATGCGCTGTTCTTGAAGATGAAATAGAAAACAGAATAGATGAGCTATTAAAGGACAAAGAACTTTTACAAAAATATGGTTCTGAGAAGTTTGACATAACTCCACCAGAAAAGAAGAAGAAAGAAAAGAAAGAAAAGAAAGTAGAAGAAGAGAAGAAAGAACCTGAACCAGTTCCAGAGAAAAAGAAATTTGACATGTAAAAATAAAATTTTATTTTTAGAACATTTCTGGGTCAATGTCAATGTTCTCTTCCTCTTTAGGAGTAAACACTGGCTTAGACTCTAAAATCTTTTTACCCAATTTACCTTGAACTTCTACAACTTTAGACTCATAATATTCATAGTCGTCTGCTTTCTTTGGTTCATAAGGTATAACAAGTTTGTATGCTTTGCCTTCTTTAAGGTTTGAGAACCTTCTGTCAAAACTTTCTTTGACTGTTAACAAACCTTCTATGTCTAAGTCTTCAAATTTCGCACCATTTTTAGTCACAATAGCAAACTTAACTGGTTCGATGTTCCAAACTTTGCTGAATGAAGACTTTTCAAAATGGTAGAAGTAAACATTCAAATATGTGAATGGGTCTAGTTCTTCTTTAAGTCCTGACATGTACTTGTTTACTGAGATGAATTTTGTCATCTTTTCTATCGGATAAAAAAATATTTTTTTTTAAAATTTACTCAGAAAAATTATTTCTTTATATATTTGCCATTCTGAACTTCGAAAAGATGTTTTATACCAGCATAGAATTTTTCTCTAGAGCTTGGTCTTATATCGTTTTCATGACAATATTTTCTATATTCTTCATATAAAGCCTTTTTTTCATACATTTCATAAGGACAATCTAACCAGAATAGCGCATATCCATTTTCGTTATCTAGGTCTCTATATGTTTCTTCTGTTTGTAGAATTTCGTTTTCTCTATTTAGTTCTATGTCTATATATTGTGGCTTAAAAAGATGTGGGCAAGAAGGGTGTGGCGCTATGTAAAAAGTTAATTTTTCTGTCATCTTTTCTATCGGATAAAAAAAATATTTTTTTAAAATTTACTCAGAAAAATTTTTCTTTGTATATACACCATTCTGTACGTCTAAAAGACTTTTGACATTTGCCAAGAATGTTCGTTTAGACGCTGTCATATAACCATATTCTTGACAATATTGTTTATACGAATCGTACAATGACCTTTCATCTAAACACTCAAAGTCAGTTTCATCTATGAACAGTTCATATACACTCTTGTTTGCTTCTAACAATGTTTGTCTCTCTTCGGTATGTGGAATTTGTCTTGGATTGAACTTAGAAATATCTAATGTCATAAAATATGAGAACAAGTGGTTGTAAAAGTCAGATGTCAAAGTTTCTGCTAAGTCGTCAAAATATTCTGTATCTTGCATATGAGCTTCTGACGTTCTGACAACTACATATCTTCTGTCAGAACTTTCTAACTTCATCGGAACAGCATTGTTTGAAACCATAATGAAATTTGCAACATTTTCACAAACTCTTTGGTCTTTATACTTTCTTTCAACAACTCCAACTTTGTCTGTTATAAGACTCTTCAAAGCATCTGAGTTCAAAACTTTTGTTGTATCTATACTTTGAAGTTCATTGCAAACTATAAGTTTCATATTCTCTATTGAAGAGTTAAACTTGCCACAGATGTTTTCTAAGTTTGTCATATTCGGGTTCGAATAGCCTTCTAACAGTTTGCACAAAATATCTGTAAAGAATGTGTTCTTACCAGTTCCTTGTTTCCAATTATAATGAGAGCAGTTTCATTTTTAGCACTTGGATGTTGTAAGATGTTTGCAAACCAACATAAGATATACTCATAGACTCTTTCGTTTCCATTGCATATAATTTCTTTGACATGGTCTAACCAAGCTTCTATAATATTTTCTTTCCATTCTACTTGTTCGTATTTATATCCAGTGAAGATAGAATAGAAGTTTGGAGAAGGTGTATAAAACTTTATACCTCGAACTGAAAAATCTTCTAACTTTGACAATAAGATATCCCAAGCATCTAACATCTTCATGCCAACTTGTACGACTTTTATTTTCTTAAGTTTCTGTCTACATTCTTGTTCTGAAACTATTGTTGCTCTTGGTTTGTTAAAGACAACATCCCATTCTTTCATAACATAACATTCTGGGGCAGAGTCGACATAAATGACTAAACGTTTCAAATTCTCGACTGCTTTGTTATAGTCTCGAAATGGACACATATTTCTGAATGTTTGGAAGTCATAAAAATCTGAAACATCTATTCTGTACATTTTTATAAAAATAAAAAAAATATTTTTTTTTATTCTTGAGCTATTTGTTGCATTTGTTGTTCTTGAGCTATTTGTTGTTGAAGTTGTTCTTGTAGTACAATACTTTCACCAGTTGCATCTTCCAATTCGAAACTTTCTGCCGTCATTGACAAATACATAGGACATAAAAGTTTTACAGGAACAAAGTTTGCGTCAACTAAGGTTAAGTTTATGTTTGCTAAAGTGTTTGAGTTTACTAAAGCTGAAAACTCTGCATTCGAATGAACAATAGGCAAACCAGCAGAGAAAGTGTTGTTTATACGCATAAGTATCTTTTGGTCATAGTAGTTTCTGTCGACATTCGAATAACACTTTGAACCTAAGTTTGAAACAATATAGGGTGTCCAAAGGTGTGTTTAGCACAAACCTGAATACTGCGAATAGAAATAAACAAGATACATATATATAAAGTTTATTTAAATATAATCACCATTGGATTCAATCACGCGTTCGCAGCGATCGATCCAGGCTTGAAAGACACGCTTTAAATCATCATGAGAAAATTGCTCAAATTGCTCTCTTACAAAATTTTCAAGATCATCTGGACTCGTGAATTCGCGTCCTTCAGCTCTCTTTTTTAGCGTGCCGAATAAATAAAAGTCAGAGGGTGCAATATCAGGTGAATAAATTGGGTTTGGAACAACTTTGACATTGTTTTCCACCAAGTAATTCATTACCTTATGACTTTTGTGAACTCTTGAATTATCAAAATGAATTGCAAACTTTTGTTTTTGTTGTTTGGATTTCTCAAACTCATCAGAATTGATAATTTGAGTAAGAACATTGTCAATTAGATACTGAGCATTCATCGTATTAGGTTTTTGAAGAATATCAATTGCGATGATGCCATTCACGCCCCAAAAAACCGACAACATCATCATTGGTGTGTCAATTTTTTTCTTCGGGAATGTTTGCGGATTTTCATCCTTCGGGATCCACATGATTTTGGCTTCTGTTGCATATTGAAACCAAGACTCGTCCCCTGTTACTAAAAAGCGAAACTTCTTGGATTGATACGCACCCAATATAGAGAGGAGCTCTTTCGAAGATTGGACTCTAGATTTTTTTTGAACTGAATTAAGGTTGTGCGGAACCCAACGTGTATACGCTAGTTTGTAGTTCAAATAATTGTGCAGATAATAACTGACTGTTGTACGTGGTATCTTTGTCATCTCCTCTATCCTTCTGAGTGATGCTCTTGGGTCTTCATCTAGCGCTTGAAGAATTGCTTTGATTTTTCTTTGATCCGGCGATTTTTTGTCAATTTTTATGATGGGCGCCTTTTTGTTCATGAAGTGATACATCCTAACATGATACGTTACAGTGGAATAGCTAGGAGCATCCATACCTAAGCATTTTACCAATGTCTCGTAGATTTTTTACAGTCTTTGCATTTTTTTGCAAGAGCGAGGATGTTTTCTTTATGATTCATTAAAAAAATGAAAAAAATCCCGCCAAAATTTCCCGCGAAACCGCCTCTTGTCTCAAAATTCATTTTATATCCCGGCATGGCGCCAAAATACAACATACTCATCATATACATATATTCATATTTTTTATTATATATTTATAATCAGCATATATCTCCTTTAATAGTCTCATATAGAGCGCTGTGCTAAACGCACCTTTGGACACCCTATATATAAAATAGGTGTACTTAAAGTCAATGGAATAGACATTCCTTGTATGACACCTTTTCCTGTTATAGGAAACTGTTGGTAGTAAAAACCAGATATAAGTTTTGTATTATAGCTCATATTGTTTATAGTAAACTCAGTCGGACATCCAAACATAATGAAACCTGCTCTAGTTGCAGCACATGTTACACTCGTCCTTAAAGTATTAAATAAGTCAACAAAACCTGTTGGTGGTATATCTGAGTAAGTATCTTCAAAGGAGTATTTTTTACCATTCACAACAATAAAGTCTTCTGGTGTCAAAAGAGCAAAACAGGCTTTAGTCGTCATTGTGTTTAAGGTTAGTTTACAATATCTCCTTGAGGACTTTGTAAGTTTGTTGTTATATAGAATTATATGACTCAGGTTTTTAGTCGTAATAGTATAAACCACTATGTCTTCTGCCATTTACATATATTAAAAGTTTTCTGAAAGTGAGAAGAACTTCATCTAAACTTTCACATGGCGTTTCTTGAAGTTCTCTGTCTAAGAAGTTCAAATATTTTGTAAAGACATAGAACTTTCCTTTGTCTACACGAACAAATAAAACAGGTCTTTCATATCGTTCAAAAGTGTGTAAAGTCCTTTACATGAAATAAAGTCTATATTATTTTTCTTCAAACATCTTTCAAGAAGTTTGACATTTTTACTTAGCAAATAAATTTTAATGAAATGTGTGGTCGTCAAATATTTTTATGACGTCTGGGAAACTATATTTTAAGTTCAACGTTTCACCTCCTTTCATAACGTATATCTTGTCAATGACATTATATGAAACACCACAGCAACTAACGTCGGGTTCTATTTCTTTGATGTTTATATCGTCTGCCTCTGTCAAAAGTTTCAATAGTTCTTTCAAAACTTCATGAGGTGCGATGACATATGAGTTCACTTTTACAGGGTTGTGTTCGACCAAGTTTAACATTATACCTAAAGCTTGACAAATCTTCTCCTGAGTTTGAAGTTTGTCTTTAAGTTGTTGGTAGTCGTTTCGAATATCTGCAACAGAACTTAAGTCTCTGCTAACTTCAGGGTATGTTGGTGTTCTTTTACAGGAACTATTGTTATACCATCTTCGTCTTCGTATGGTTTCCCCACTCAACATCTCTTTCTTTGACATTGACAATAACACTTTGACTGTTTGTTTGAGTGGTGAATTTAACTTCACATCTGCCACCGCCATTAAACCTTTTGAAACACTTACGCTTCTATTTTTCGGAAATGACATTTTACTTCGAATAAAAATATGGACGTATTCGAGTATCTCTTCGAATTGAAGCAGAACAAAGTTTACACACACAAACAATACAAATACATTGACAGAATAGTTCTTTACACAAACAATGGAAAATGTTATAGAATAGCAGTCTTTGCTGAACCAAAATATTTTCATAAAGCAAAGAAAGTTGGTATAACTGAAATGGTGAAAGTTCTTGAAGCAGACAAAAATATAACTTCAAAACTTACAGATATTTCTAAAGGTAAGTTTATAATACAATTTTATGTCAAAACTGGCGTACTGTCAATATTTGACGGAGAGAAGTCAGTTCAAGAACAACTTACTGACCTGCTGCCAAAATCTGCTCGATGGAAGCTGTCGTTATGCCAATCTGAGGAGCTCCAGCAGGTTTCATCGAACGAATCTTCAAAAGAGCATCTTCCGTGAAAAGTGCTATTGGTTTTGTAAACTTCTTTGCTCTCAGTTCATCTGGACCGTCTCTGTCACCAGTATATTGTATTTGAACTGTACCAACAGTTGAAATACCACCCATAAAGCTTCTGAGTCAGCAAATGGAATGCCAAGCCAAAAGTTTGAACGGTCTCCATTTGTATATTGAGTTTTTTTGACCTCCTGTATGAGTCCATACTTTCACATATGGCATAATAGAACTTTGCATTTCAGGGTTTATGGTTGTTGTGAAGTTGTTGTTAAAGTTCATAGCATCTAATGTCAAGTTGTATGACCTCATATCCTCAACTGTAGAATATTCTTCTCTTGGATAATATTTGCCATCTATGTTTATATGATATTTAATACCGGGGTTGTAGAAACAAGAATAGTCATTTATAGTTCGTCTGAAAAGAACAAACATAGTATCTGCATGTTTCATTGCAGTTGTTAAAGCAATATCTGTCTTGCACCTGGGTCAGCACTTTGGTTTCCAACTTCACCTGCAAAGTCTTTGACAGATATTTGGTGTATAGGAACATAAGTGGAACTGCAATATATTTGGCAGCTTAAAGCATTTGAAATATCTGGGTCCAACATATAGACTGCAAGTCTGCTTTCTATTCTCTTGCATTCAAATTTTTCGCATGTGAACTTAACTGGGTCCCAAGCAGTTCCAGCAGCATTGAAATAATAGTTTACTTCAGTGTTGAGGTTTGAGAAACCAAAGTCTAAGTCAACTTTGTCTTTGCAAAATTCGGCGAATGACGTTTTATTTGGTCCCTCTACGTCTGTAATAGTGAATGGGTCTTGTGTTGGTGCAATGACTAAGTTATTTTTGCTTGGAGTAAGTTCGATAGAAATTTTTCCTGCCCAGTTTGGCAAGTATCTTAAAAACCTGAAGATGAGGAAAGATGACAAAGGAACTCTAAGTTTCAGTTTTACTTTAGTGGCAGCAGTTCCATCTGAACCAGAAAGGTTAACATAAACTCCTGGAACGTTAGGGTCAAGTCTTCTTATTTTCTCAATGGTGGCATACTGGTCTGTATTTCTCTAGCTTGTGGTTGTACTGAGTTTCTCAAAGCGAACCATTCATAGTTTGCCCATGTTACTGTTTGAACTAAGTCAGAGTTAGAATATATCTTATATCCCATGAAAACTTCTGGAGCATATTGGTATCCGACATAGAAAATTCCATTGCAACCTTTCTTGTCAGACAACTTGGCAGAAGGTTTTATTTCAATGTCTTGTTCCACGTATAAGAATGAGTTGTCAATAGAAATAATATGAAACCTGTCGCAAGCAATATCTACTGTTGTTGAAGAACCTTCTCCAAACTCACCTACATTTCCATAAGAAACAGCAGTTGTATATTCGTAAGTTCCAGGAACTATTTCTGACCTTCTAATGGCATTGTCGCATTCGTTATACCATTCGGAAACATTTCCATTCATAGCATCCAAAACTGTTGGCGTTATATTCTGAGCGGCGTACATTTCATATGGGTAAAATATAGAATAGTTGGATTTATGTGTCATAATAGAACCCACGTGGACCAAGCTTTACTTTCTTCCTGGCTGAGTTTTTAACTCTTCTTTTTCCTTCATTGCCACTACTTTCACTAGATGAAGTTACTTCTTCACTACTTTCACTTTGTTCTACTCTTCTCTTCTTCTTTGGTAACTTGCCCTCTGCTTCAAGTTGTTGCATCTTTGCCTCATGTTCACCTAGTATGTTGTAAATTTCCCATGTCCTTTTTGCCTTTGGCTCTGGTCGCCCATCTCAGGTAACCTATATCCTAGAAAGAGTTTGTCATAGTTTGTATTTGAGTCTTCGCGTATTGTTTGCATGACTCTTTCCTGAGTTTCCGGTTCAAGCTCTTCAAACAGAGCTTGTCCATATGGAATAAGCTCGTTTCCAAATATATGTTTTTGTAGCCATTCTGGTTTTCTTTCCATGTTACCAACAATATCTTTTGTGAATGGGAAAGCTTTTACCCAATGTTTCAGTCTTGCGTCATTTATTTCTGTAGTTGGTTTTATTTTGTCAAGGAACATGTTTTTCAATACTAACATTTCATTTGGTACTGTCCATTTGAGTTTTCTTAAATATTCATCCCTTCTCGGTTCATTGTCTGCAAAGTAAGTTTTTATGACATTTTGCAAACTTTCGTTTGCAAGGTCATGTACAATAGGTTCTCTTCCTTCTCTCTCCCTAACTTTCTTTCTAAACTCTTCACCAAATATACCATCTCTATGGTTCTGTGTAGTTCTTTGAGATAAATGTTTTAGAACGTCAGGTGTTATATTTCCATCAGCCATGTTCATTTCATACTGGTCCAAAATATCTGCATCTTTCATATCTTTCAATGGCATTAAAGCCGCGCTGAAAATACCAGCTATATCTGGTTCACCATTGACTTCCATTGCGTCTACAACTTCTTGGAATTGAGGTTGTAAGTTTATGAACCACCTATCCGGGTTAGCTTTATGACCCCATCTCATTGTAGTTCCATCGTCTGCAGAAACAAAAGTAGGTTTGTTTCCATCTTGGTTAGGTTCTGAATGAACTTTAAACAATGTTTCATTTTTATATGTTTTGTTGAAATTTAACCTTTTATTTTCACCGAGTTCAGCAAAAGATTGAACGTTATATGGTCGTAAGTAAAAAGGGTTATTGTATTTGCGTACATTTTCTTTCAGTACTTCCATTCTATGCTGAATATTTTCATCTGGTGTTGGAGTCTTTTGTATGTCGGCAAACATTTTTCGATATTCTTCTACTATGTCAGCCGAATTTTTTTTAGACTCTTGGAAAGATTCCATATTCACCTCATACTCTTGTTGAGGGTCAAGATTTTTCGGCTGTTCCAAATCTTCATCTAGTTCTGTGAAGTTAGTTTCCAAAGGAGGGACTTGTTCGTTTCCTTCAGGCTCTTCTAGCTGTTGTTGCTGAACTATTTCTTCCATGTCTGGTTGTATCTGAACTTCTTCCTGTGGAGTTTCTTGTACCTCATCTGCTGGCATTTCATATATTCCGAGACCGTTTTCAACAAGTTCCCTATTTAAGTCATCCGCATTCATAAGCCTTTGTTCTTTCGTTCCGTCTCTATTTTTTACGCGTTTCATGAAGATAGTTGAATCATCATTTATCTCTGACACCAAATATCTCGGAGTAAATTCAGTCATGTCATTTGGATGATATGCTATTAAATCATATCCCTTAGCGAGCTTGTATTTTCCAGGTTTGAAATTATATCCCATTTGGTGCTGAACCATAAAGCTAAATAGGTTCGGGTCAGTATTTCCTTCCTTGAACTTTCTAATAGCTTCTTTATATCTGTCACTAAAGTCAAGAGTATCTGGGTAACCATAGTCTTCTTTAAGCATTTTTAAGAATTCTTGGTTTCCTTGTTCTCTACTTCTTTTATGTCCTTGCTCTGTTTGTGGTTGTTGTTGCTGTGCTGGTTGTGGAGGTGGTTGTTGTTGCTGTGCTGGTTGTGGAGGTGGTTGTTGTGCAGGGTTTTGAACTGTTGGTTGTGGTGCAGTGTTTTGAACTGTTGGTTGTTGTGCTGGTTTTGGTGCATGCCTGTGTCTGTGTCCATGTGACGATGTAAATGTTTTAGGTAGTCCTGGTGCAGGTGCTTCTCTTGGAGGGTTTGGTGGTATATAGGTTCCACTAGCTAGTATATAAGTTCCACCAGCTGGTATATAAGTTCCACCAGCTGGCACATATGTTCCATCTGCAGCATAATGTCCTACCTGACTTTCGTTTTTAAGAAAGCATTTACTAGGTCTGTTTTGGTCTGTTGTAACTCTTTTTCTTGACTTTCCACAACAGTTGCTCTAACGGTGTCATAGGCACTTTGAACTGCCTGTCTCGTTGCTGCATCTGTTATTTTCGTCATATTTTGTGCTACTTCTCTTAACTCTTTGTCGAAACCTTCAGACTTCAGTTTCTTTCCAGATGAGAAGTCGTTCACTAGTTTCACCTTACTATGAAGAGCTTCGAAGGCGTTCTTAAAGTCAGCATTTGTTAAAGCTTCATTTGAACTGTCTTCATCCCTTGTATTTTTGTCCTTATTGACCCTATGTTGGGCTGCTTTAGCGTTGGCTTGGGCATCTAACCAGTCATTATTAGCTTTTATATATTCTGCGCTTTTCATTGCCTTTTGCATGGCTGCGTCGTTATTTTTACTTTCTTGTGCTAAGTTTTCATACTGTACGGTTTGGTTTTGCAACTGTAAAAGTTTTTCTGCTTTACATTTGCTCAACTTCTTTTTTATACTCATCGCTATCCATATATGTCTTCAGGGCTTTTTGTTTTATCTCTTCATCTTTCAGTACTTTATATTGAGTAGTATGGTTTTTCAAATTTATAACATCTTGTTCCATTTTTGCTACTTCTGCTGCTTTTTCTGACACTTTTTTTGCATATTCCTCTGTACTTAGTTCTTTCAGTTGTTCTTCTTTCTTCTTTTTCTCTACGTTTAACTCATTGAGTTTCTTTGTGTGTCTGTCATATTCTAGTTTCTTTTCGTTTTCACTTATTTGTTTCTGTATGTCTATGTTTGACTTTTTGACATCTGTTATTTGATTTTTGAGTGAACTCAAATTCATTTGACTTTGAGGGTTATAAGCTGTTCCGTCTGCAGCTCCACCATAGCCTGCCATTTTCGCTAAAAGTGCCGCTCTTAAACCTCCACTCTGTGCACCAATAACTCGGTTTAAAAGCATAGGGTTGCTTGACATTTGTTGCAACATAGTGGGGTCATTCATTATTGTTGTTGCAACTGTTGTTGTGGTGTCAGTTTTACTATTGGATGTTTCAATGCTCTCTTCCTCTTACGTATATTCTTACGTAGCTTACGTGGCATTTTAAGTGAAGTAAAAAACGGTTTTTGACAGATGTTTATATGACACTATTTGTTCAGCACAAAAAACTACTCGGTCAAAGTGTTGTCAGTTTTGTAAAATAACCGTCCTATCTCATTCTATAAGGGGAAAAAGGCTTCTCAAAGTTTACTTCCTTGGAACGCCTGTAACTTTTCCTGTAGCGACGATAGACCCTTACTTGTCCGGACAAAGTTATACTAAACATCTTCAGGGCTAGAGGGCACGAAGTGCCTGGAGGCCCCACTACCTTTTTTTTTTTCAAAGCAATTGATACACCCGTAAGACTTCAAAAGATCGTAAATTTATGAGAAGTTTAGCCCTAAAGCCGAATTTATTGCTTTTGACACATTATTAAAATAATGCTATTTCAAAGCTCCCATCTACATCAATTCTTTTTTTTGAATGATGCTACCAATTAATTTGAATTAAAAGTTATCTCTTACCCACACAATTTAAAAATGAAAAATCCTGCCACAAATTGCTTTATAATCAAAATAATTTGATGTTGGATTTTGAGATTATCAATTCTGAATTCAGAAAACAAAAAGATTGTAAAATCTTTATCTCCATTTAATGTTTATCAATAAAAATATAACAAAATGTAAAATGAAAAAAAATTGAATGTCAAAAGATTAATAGCAGAACTTCATTCTTAATTATTTTGTTTTAAAAAATCATGACAAAAAATTTCAAAATCAATCAAAATTGAGATAACATTAATTTTGCAAATTACCTCAGACTTTTCAGAGGATTGAGTTGCCACTCAATCCTCTGAAATAGTCTGTGGTAATTTTTAGTCTCTACACTATTTCAATATAAGCTCCATTTTTAAACAGTTTTTAAAAATCGAGCATTGAAAAGTGTGATGAGACTTTATATTTTTTTTGAACATAGAAGAGATTGATTATGAAACGAATATGCTCGACAGCAGATCCGACGATGAATCGATGGATACACAGGAGTCTATCGAATCTGTAAGTGAATCAAAAAGTACAACCTCTTCAAAACCACCAGAAACTTTTCTTGATCCAAATGAAGTTGTTCCTTCAACATATTTTTATAAAAAATCATCCTCAAGGCCTACTATATCCGAACTTCGTGAAAAATCGAAACATTCAAAACACAAAAAAGCTCCTCCGGTTGATGAAACTAAAAAGAACATGGGTACCTTTACTGGCGTTTATCTTCCAGTTATTGTCAACTTAGTTGGTATGACATACTGGGTTCGTGCAGGCAAGTTAGTTGGCGACTGCGGCGTTGTTTATGCTTTACTTATTATCTGGGTTTCTGCGATCATTTCCATTATCCTTATCAGTTCGTTATCAGCTCTCGGAACAAATGGCGAAATGGATGGTGGTGGTATCTATTTTGTTATTTCTCGCTCAATTGGTCCTGAATTGGGACGTTGTTTAACAATTTTCTTAGATGTTTCCACGTGCTTGGGTGCTGCTGCTATCGTTGTTGGTTTTGCTGAAACAATTGTTTCCGTTTACGAGCCTAAATACATAACAGGAAAAGCAATCAACGATGTTCGTCTCTTGGCATTCGCAATTATGTTCATCTCAATTCCATTATCATTTAGATGGACACAATCGTTACGAATTACGAGTTTTACCCACTTGATGGGACTTGCAAGTTTCTTCATTGGCTGTTTCATGCATAAACCATATACCGTACAAGGATTCATCGGGCAATCAGTCGAAAAGTTCAAAATCAACGCGTTTGAACCCAGGACCGTCTCAAAATTCTTTGGTTATATCTACACAGTTTCGCCTGCCTTTACATCATTAACAGGATGTCTTTCTTACGCAGGAAATCTCAAACGTCCGCAGAAAATGATACCAAATGGCCTTGTTTACGCGTTTGCAACGTCATTATTGATCTGGCATGTAACAATTATATTACTTGGACTCTGTGGCGACAAACAATTCCTTCAAGAAAATACAATCAGTCCTATTATTGCATTTGGAATCAATAAATGGATTGGATTTGCAACAATTATCGTTTTCGCTATGCACAGATCACTTGGTAACATCGGATACGAAATTGGTCTTATTACTGATATGGCCAATGATAATCTCCTCCCTAAAATCAGATGGTGCTACGATTATTGGATGCCTCTTTCAATTACAGCCATTTTCATCGGAATTGGTAGCTTAGATTTCAGCTCGAATATCAATACGATTTTCTGGCTTACAATGGGTGTTGTTTTCAACTGGTGCGTATGGAGTGCATCAAGATCTCACATTCCAGGCTGGAGACCTAAATCTAAGCTTTACAGTCCATGGCTCAGCTTCTTTGCATCATGATATCTTGGTGGAATACGATAATCAACTGGGTTATTTTCGGCATAATATACTGGATAAGCAATTGGAAAGGATCTGATAAGAATTGGGGTTCTTTAATCCAAGCCAAAGCCTTTTACAACGCATATTCTCATGCATTGAATACCCAGAGAATTGAACTCAATCCAAAGATATTTAGAATCAATTTGTTGACAGTTGTTGGCGAATCAGAAAAAATTGAAGAAACTTCTTTGCCATTTATTGATATTGTCTTGGGAGGTGAAGGTTTCTGCATTGTAGTTAGTATGGGTTAATTGGGTACTGTGGCACTGCGCACCTACTTACCCATTATATGTGAATTTGACACTTTACAAAACCACTAACGTATATTTTACAAATCAAACGACAACACTAACTTAACCTTAAATATTTACAAAACCGCCAACCATTTCACCTCACTAACGACTTCGCTAACGAACTCACTAATGAAAAAATAAACGTTCTCATAAATTTTCTTCTATATCTTCATCGTCAATGTTAACTCTATTGTAGTCATACTTGAAGTCATAAAGTTTCTCAAGTTTTGAAATGCATAGTCTTGTTAACTTACCTTCATCATCATAAGTTTTTATAAAACTACCATGACAATCTTTATACACAGTCAATGTATAGTCAACTGGTCTAGGATGAAGTGTAAAGAACATGTTATACTCAGGAAGGAAGAATAAATGTTTAAATGTATGTTTGTTATATTTTTCGATTTGTATGAGTTGCTTTTGTTCTGTCATTTATAAAAAAATAAAATAAAAATAAAATAAAAAAATAAACTTAAAAATTAATGATATCACCACTCCCACACGTATGAAAACATAGCACAAAAATATATTTAGGTGAAGTGGTGAGATCTCACCTGTTTTTTCACCTGTTTTTTCACCCTGTTGAATTCATTGCTTTATAACTCTCTTCCTTGGTTTCTTTTTAGTTGCTTTCTTCACGTCTGTCTCCAACTTGACTGTCTTTCTTCTTCGGCCGTAATGATACCAGTTACTTCCACCAGTCAATGGGTCAAATGGTCTTTCGTAAGGGTTTCCATACATTCCATAGGGACCATACGGAAGAACTACTGGTGGAGAAGAAACATTTTCTATAGTTCCATCGACTCTATTTAAATGCATTGTTTCACCTTTCATCTGGTCATTAAAGTCTTTTGCGTGTTTTGCAAACTCATCGTCCTTTCCTAAAGCATTTTCTGACTCAGTCGCAACCAAATTGGATGCTTTATTTATGAGCCCTATTTTATTTAATCTTAACTTCTTTGCAACCCAGCCTCCAATCTTCCCTTTATTTGCATCTAATGTCTTCGAAACCCTTCCTCCACTCATTTTATTTACTGCGTCATAAGCTCCAAGTGCTTTTGCTCCAAATGCTAATGCTTTTGTTCCCATTGCGCCTAAAGCTGCCCAAGCTACCATTTACACCATATTAAAATCATCTCTCTTCAATATTATCTCATAAAAGTTCTCGTTACTGGAGAAAGTCAATGAAACATAAGCGTTCTCACGGGCTTCGCCCTCACCGCTTTGCGGTCTATCTAACTTATTTCTTATATCATCTATACGCTTCAAAATGTCTGAACAATTGCTAACATCTTCTACAACAGTTATTTCATCATGAATGACCTTCAAGAACAAGCTCATTTAATATGCTATTAAAATCATCTCAATAATGAGTCCATCCTTTCCATCTTTAGGTAGCACAACATCTTTCATTGAAGAAGGTTCGACAAGTCTTATGTTAAACTTACTGACAAAGTTTGTTATACTATAATGCTTCGGCGGCGAATACATGTAGTTTGAAAGACATAATATAGATTCTTCAGCAAATTCACTTATACTGGATTTTATAACAATGTTCTCACGAGACCAAATACCACCAATTGACAATCTTGTAAGCAATCCTGCTGAACCTTCTACTGTAAACGTCGATGGTAACATTCCACGAAGGTCATCTATTGACATCGTTGAGTCACTGTATTTAAATATTTTCTTAAAGCAATCGTCATTATCTAACCATGCAATAGCTTTGAAGTTTTCATTCGAATATACATCTGCTTCATTAAATGTAAAACCTGACTTCTTTGCAGAGACGACTTTAAAATCTATTGAGTTTGTTTCAAAATTATATGCTATGGTAACTTCTGAAGGTAATGGATGTCCTTCCGCAGTCAGTTGTTCTCTCACTACCGTTTGAAGCTTTGTATTAAAAACTTTCATGTCATCTCCTGTATCTAAGTTCACATACACAGCAACAGGAAAACTATCTTGCTTCTTTGTTTCATCATTATACCTCAAAACATTAAAGTTCTTCAATAATATTGTTCTTCCTGCTGGAATACTTCGAACCTGTCTGATTTCAATAGCTTTCTCACCTCCTACATACTCTACCCAGTGTCTTGGATATTCATAAGTATACTGACTTTCTTGAATTTTGGTTGGTTTCATCATAACATGTTCATAGTATATCTTTATACTCTTGTCAGTTAGACTCGGTGCTATGTTCTGAATATTTCTGACTTGCATTTTTAATGGAGATAAAATGAAGCATTTAATACATGACGTAGATGAAGACATGAATGAAACTACAGACAAACTTAACTCTTCTCTCATTCTTCCTTTCAGTAAGGACTATGAGTTCTGTTCAAATGGTGTTTATTTCTATTGTGGAAAGATGGGCTCAGGTAAGACATTTAACCTCATTCGTCATATACTCATAACAGAGCGTTTAGGAAACGACTCTTACTATGACCAAATCATTATATCAGCAACTTCAGACTCTATGGACTCAACAGCGAAAACATTTATGTCAAAAGTTCAAGCCTCTGTCGTTAAAGTTCCAGACAGTGAACTCATTGAATTTCTTCAACGTTACATTCGACGTAAGAGGAAATATTATGCCATCGTTGAATTTATACAGTCAGGAATGCAAAAGACTTCTGAGGAGATGGAAAGAATTATTGACAAACATCACTTACGTCAGTACTCAGGAGTTTACGATATGAAACGACTGACAAACTACATTCTATCAAAACTTTCAAAATACCCCTTCAAAAAAATATCCTTCAAACACTTTATTAGTTTGTGACGACTTCGCTGGAAAAGGTTTAGTTTCAAAACCAGACTCACCATTAGCTAACATCATACTAAAGTCAGACATTACCACTTAACTGTAGCAATACTTATGCAAACATGGAGGTTTTTAGCTTTAAACATAAAACGTCTCATAACTGACTTCGTTATCTTTCAAGGTTTCTCACGTTATGATATTGAACTCATTTGGAAACAGTCAGGTATAACATTACCTTTTGAAGAAATTTGGGAAGCATATAAGTCTCTCATCTCTCCTCGTTCATACCTTGAGATTCATATCATGACTAATACCATTAAAGTCAAAAATATTCCATGGGAACGACCAACATTGTTTTAAAGTTTAACCTTCAATTGACTGATGGTAAACAAATTCCATGCATCTCTGTCGCCATTTCTGTTAATATTTTTGCTGTCATTCATATCATCCACTTCCCCATCCGTTAGCTTTTGAGGATATGCGTTAGAATAGCTGTTCTTAAATGAAGGCTTTTCACCTTTGAGAGCATAAACTCTATAACTTTCTGCATACTTTATGTTTGAACCTCCTGAGCCATCATTGACATAAATTTTTATAGGCTTCCACCCTTTGTTCATGTTCCTGCTTCTTCCCTTAGCTCTTTTGTTCAGTAGTTCTACATCTTTATACACAGCACCTGTCTCAGTGAATTCAACAATATTTTCATTCGTTAGCTTTACATTCAAACCCTTGTCGAGTATATTGTTCATTTCATACATATAAAAGGTTTTTATTCTATATGAAATGAGAAGCAAATCCATCTTAGCTGGTGCCGTTAATGTTCCAATTGAACCAACATCAAATGTTGACTCACGAACGACAAACAATATTGTCATAAAGAACTATAGTTCAGAGTGTTTGAAAGAAAAAGAACCAGAACTTAAGTCGTGAATTTAAACTCAGCTTCAAACGCTAACGCTACATCAGATGTTAAGTTAGAGTATCCACCACTGGACCAAATTCTTTCAAGAGAAGCCAACGACAATCCTTACACAAATGTTCAAACAAATCCTTCAGATAACGTAGACCATTACCTTCTTCAGTTATACCAAACAATTTTACTCAAAGACGATAAGAAGCTTTTGACAAATCTTATAAAGCAAGAACCAAATAATTCTAACAAAGGAGGACCTTGAAAATGTTATCTCACGAATAACAGGGAAACAATGTGTCATTGACTATCTCGACCCTGAAATCGAATGCTGTGGTCAAACTCCACTATTCATGAAAATAGGTAACATCCGCATCATTGAAACACCAGGAACTACAGGAGTTGAGTTTAAGTATAAATATTCGAACGAGTATACAAAACTATCTACTGACTATAACTTTGTTTGAAATATGTTTTAGTAAATTAAAGCAGTCAGGGCTCTTTGAGTCTTGGCGCTTTGCGCCGTCAGTCAAAAAAATTTCAAGTTAGCAATTTGTAATATCTATCCAAAACTTCTTCAACAGTATCGAACTCATCTTCATAATGCAAACCTAATCTTATTGACTTGGTGCAGTTTTCACTAACACAATATTTTTCTGTTCTCTTGACTGACATAACTAATTCATTTGTTTCATCAAACAGCAACAACCAAAGTTCATGACCTAATACATAACATTCATACTTTATATTTTTAGCTCTGAGTTCTCTTGTAAGCTGTTGCATTTAATATTTTCTAAAAAGTCAACTTCAACAGTCATTCGCACTGGTGCCTTCAGTTCTACAGGCTCTCCTTGAAAGTCAACAAGTCTGAATTGCATGTCTTTCAAATTATGAGGACTAATGCGAACCCATTTACCTAAATGAGTTGCTATGACAGGAACGTTTCGAATGAACATTGAATTTACTTCATAACAGAAAGACTTATATTCTACTGAACCTTTACTATTAACTCCTGAAATACCTGTGACATTAGCTATTTTGACTCAATGTACAAACAATTGCCATAACATACGTATGGAACAGATTCATCTCAATCATTTTGTCAACACTTTTCAAAGGAAATGTCATATGGTATGCACCCAAAAGAAGTTGTACTCTATGACTCATTCGTGTTATCTTAAACTCCTTCGCATAACTGAACTTCAAAACTCCTGCAATAAGTTTAACATTCATTAAGTTTTCTTCGTTATCCTTGTTTATTGTAGTATTTATGAGAGCATTTAACACTCCAGCTAATGTTTCCATCTTATATTCTACATTATTGTGAAATCTTATTTCGTGCTTCTTTCCATCTATTTCAATCTCCATGAAATCTGTTTCATCTGTTATGACAAAAGTTGCGATAGTATTGAAGTCAACAACTCTGAAAGCAAGCGCTTCATTCTGAAGACCTAAGTTTGTTTGTAGCTTTACTGTCCCGTATTCATTTGGGTCTGTACTTTGCAAATAGAACAACATTTTATTCTCATTAAAATATGAGTATAGCTGCATATGCGTATGAAGCTGACAGAGCTAAACGTTTATATTTTGGTCAATACTCTCTCACACTTACTGACAAATATATTGTTATCACTGATGGAAATACTGAGAAATACATAACATGGAAGGACTATGAAAAGTTTGACCCTATTTTAACTCCATGTACTATGCCGTTTATAAAGGACGGTGAAATTATTGAAAAAGATAATACAATCGTATATAGGTCTGTTTATGAAGCATTAGAATATATGTTGAATCATAACCCAAAAAGATTTGACCCAAGCACTACACCATGTGCAATGCCTTTTATTAAGGACGGTGAAATCGTAAGAGTTCCGGATTCAACGGTTTACACAGCTGTTCAAAACAGTTTACAAAACATTTTAGCAAATATCTTTAATTCAAAAACTACAGAAATAAAATTACCGTATATAACAGATGCTAAAGAAATTAAATCAAAAACGACAACATTATTTACGTCACTTAATGATTTAATGACTTATATCATTAATATTCCTGCACCAACTACAGCATTTGATCCAAACTCGACGGTTTGCAGTGTACCTTTCATAAATGACAGTTCATTAATTGCTTTAAGGGATTCGACAGTAAATGAATCATTAAAGGCGTCATTAATGAAAATCATTGATTTTAATTCATTCACGAATACATATAATTCATTCATTAATGTTTCATATGCTTCTAAAGAAGGTGAGCCAAAAACTATCGATAAAGCGGTGTATGAAATAAAAGCATCAACGACGAAATTGAATTCGTTAACTTTTGACGGTGATAGTTTCGTTAATGACATAACATCGGGGAAAACAATTTTAACGAAAGAATACTTAAAATCTCATGTTAGTGAGTTCGTTGAAATTGAAAAGAAGGTGGAATTAAGTTCGATCCACTGAATTTCATTTTCAGCTTAGCGAATGCGGGTGTTAGTTTCGCTGAATGGACAACTATACAAAGTGAAATAAATGCAATATGGACGTTTTTGGGGTCAAAAGCGGAATGGGTGAGCTTGTAAATGCTGCAAGAACATTAGGTGAAACGGAAATTTTGTAGATGGTTTTAAAAGACTTGTTTCAAATGTTTTAACAAACACAAAGAAATTATTTAGATATACCATACATAACGGTCAGATTTTCGAACAGGTAGCAACAAACCCTCCGGTTATGGCTGCGTTGATGATGGTTAGAGATATAAAACCACGTAACGACGGGAACGAAGAACATGAAAACAGGATACTGGTCGGGTTATTCGAGACATTAAAAACGTGTATCCTGAGTTATTGATTTATTTAGAGGAGTTAATGATTCAATTTCAAAACATTCTATAACCCTCGATGAAGAGAATAAATTAACAGATTATATATTCGTCATTATTGCAGAATTAATGAAGAGAATAAATGAAAAAGGAATTGGTGATATCATTAATGTCAGCGATGTAATGATGAAAAGAAATTTTGACTCATTATTTACAGAACCGAAAAAACAGAATATAGTCTTTATGACGTAATTACTGAATTAATGAAAAAGATTAATGATAATAAGAGTTCTGGCGGAAGAGTTGAATTAGAAGTGAATGATGTTAATGAGAAATTAGCCGAAAAAGCAGACAAAAATGAGCTTTTAGCTCTGAGTGATAAAGTCAAGAACCACGTTCATTATATAACTTCAGACGAACAGATTATAACGGACTACCATGGATATTTAACACAGGATGAACAAATAAGCACTGAAGATGTTAATGAAAGAAGATATAAATTCATTCGTGCTAAAGGTTATGAACATAAGCTGTACTGTACAGTATGAACAGGGTAAAGCACAAGAAGCATTTGGTTATAACAATGAAATTTATGCTTCATACTTCTTTGTTAACGGTGTATTAGTTGAACCAAGATTTACTTTGAGAGTTAAGGCAAAAATAACTTTTGAAGATGCTATTAAAAGTAAAGCTGACAAAGATGAACTTGACGCAACGAACAAAGTTTTGAAATCTCATAAACACAACATCTCCGATATAAATGAACTTCAAGCTACATTAGACAGTAAAGCCGACAAGAACCATACACATGAATCCTTCACTACTGTTAAGCAGACGACATAATATTGAACTATACCTTGGTTCAAGTGCACCTTTAGAGAATCCAAGTACAAGCGTAAAAGATACACTAAACTCCTTAAATAGTAAATGTATGAACATTGAAGGTCATGTCAGAAACTTTGAAACATATAAACTACCAGCAATGTTAGATAAAAAGCAGATAAAGAACATACACATAAATCCTTCTCAACTGTTGCTATGAAAGTATTGAAGGAACGGTTGGCGGAACTGGTGGGGATGCATTATATTATAAACTCTACCTAACTTTCCACAAGGTTTAACATCGAATGAAAACATAACAACGAAGAAAGAAATTAGCTGTAAAAATGTTTATGTCATGGATGATGAAAATAATGTTAAATTCACTGCTCAAGATTTATATATAAGAAAGCCGACAAACAGCTTCAAACATTAAAGACTGAAATACTTCAAACATTATATCCTGTTGGTTCTTTATATACATCAATGAACTCAACAAATCCAGAAACAGTTTTAGGTTTTGGTACATGGCAGCAGATTGTAGATAAATTCTTATACTGTGCTAGATATTCAAAGCAAACAGGAGGTTCGAAGAAAATTAAAGAAACAAACCTTCCACCGCACACTCATACAGGAACTACAAACACAACAGGTAGTCATTCACATTCAATAACAAAAAGAGGTTATACAAATCTTGCAGCAGGTTCGGATAGAGAGGGATGATAGATATGATATTTCAAGTGACCCAGTAGATTCAAGCACAGGTATTTTCTGTGGAACCAGCAAATCATTCACACACTTTCACAACAAATCCAACAGGCTCGGGTGCAGATTATATGCCACATTTGTGACTATATTCGCATGGTACGCGTTCAATGAACGCGCTTGAGCCTAGAATAAAATCTTTAACTTTACATAAATGAGCTTGAAAGAAGTATTCGAACACACATCTATGGAGGTCATTTAAGAAGTTCAATCGAAGCTGCAAAGAGTTGGGATTTACTAACAGAGCTGAAGTGAAAAGGTTCTTTGACAAAAAATGTTGTACATCAAACAAAAATAAACCCTTACGACTACTTTTTACCAATTTACTCCAACGCCTGACGCATACCAATTTGACACTCTCATTCAAAGCAGAAAAGAGGACATAAACCATTCCTCATCTTCATAAATGTTAACACTCGTAAAGCATATGCATATCCATGAAAAATAAAGGAACTCGTGAAGTGTTAAGAGTTTTACAAAAGTTTGTAGCAGAACATAACCCAAGTACTTTAACATCAGACCAAGACAGTGCATACCTCAGCAATGAAATCACAGATTTTCTCATTAAGCATAACATAACTCACTACACTACTGAAGACCATAACCATAACATACTCGGCATCATAAACCGCTTCATAAGAACGCTCAGAGATTTAAACCAAGAGCGAGACTTTACCGAAGAAACAATGAAACATTTTCTCGAAGTATATAATTCCTCAACACATTCTACAAACAGGACATACACCAAATTCAATGACACAACAACAAGAAGAAAAGTATATACAAAAGAAACGAAGTCAAACACAAAATATCAGAAATTCAACACAATTTACCCTCACTCCTGGTACAAAAGTTCGTGTAGTTCTTGACGACAAACCGTTGACAAAGAAACGTTTAAGGTTAAGTAGAAACTATTATATCGTAGACTCTACGCAAGGTAATGGATATCTTATAAAAGCTGCTGACGACTCTATTGCGTTTTACCCTCGACATAAATTAGTTGAAAGTAGTAATGGCAAACTTGCTGAAACCATTGACGAAGCAAAGCGAGGAGTGGTTATTGAAATACTTGGCTACAACATAAACGATGACACTTATAAAGTAAGATATGAAGGAGGCGTTGAAGATGTTATACCATCTAAGAACTTGAGAGAGTCAAAGCCAACACATCTGGGACCATTAGAGCGGGAGTACTGGAAAGACAAAAATAAGCCAGAAAGAATAAGAAAATTCTTCTAAACTTTTTCATTAGATGTAAATCAGACATGAATGAGAACAGTCATGTATTATTAATGGTACCATTTATTTACACCAAAAATAATGTTTAGGTGAAGAGGTGAGATCTCACCCGTTTTTTCACCTCTTTTTTCACCCTCATGATAATTCTTCTAAACTTTTTCATTAGATGTAAATCAGACAAAGCATTTACCAGAAAGAATAAGATAATTCTTCTAAACTTTTTCATTAGATGTAAATCAGACAAAAATATATTTTAGGTGAAGAGGTGAGATCTCACCTGTTTTTTCACCTCTTTTTTCACCCTCGCCGCTTAGCGGCTCAGACCCTTTGGGTCTCGTGAATTTTCATGAATTTCCTTAAGATAGAAAAAATAAAGTTAGTTTTATTTTTATTTATTTTTTTATTTTGTATAAAAGATATGATTTCAACAATCGGCACAACAACAATTCAAACCACGAACGGCGGGACTCTGTCCACAACTACAGCACCAAACTCGCTAGTCATGAATCCTACGTCAATGTTGGTAGAGATGAAAAGCTTTATTCCTTCTTCATATACTTTTGAAACAGAAATCCAGAAGATAAAGCAAGAACTTTTAACAAGTAATTTAGACTGTAGTGCGAAAGATGAAACAAATGAACAGTATCTTTATGAAATGGAGGACCTCATCAACCATTTGCCTAAACTACCTGAAATTCAGCAGCAAAAACTAACTATTCCTGAATTCGACGAAATTGAAGTCAAAGCAACTGACTCAGTAGAAATTAAGAAATTCATACGTAAAGTAAATTATGAATTCCTTGGTTTTCATTGCAACCATAAAGTTATGGACAAAGATTGCGACATGGTTTATAAAAATATTTCTGACCTTTACAAATCCGAAGAATTTAAGACATACGATAACTTTGTTTCATTAGTTGCAAAATGTGTATGGCAGATAAGAGATAAAGATAGAAGAGGTAAAGTATGGAATGAACAGATAAAACCAGCAGCTTTTGAGTTAAAGAAAACCATTGACGCCTTAGTTGTTCTAGCTGGTTTTATTTCAATGTATAACGCAAAAACGATGCCGCAATGTTCAAAATGTAAAGCAGCAATAAGAAAATATAACTACTCAGTCAAAGAGATAGAAAGAATGCGAAACGACTATTCAGACTTAAAGAAAGAAGCAGAAAAGCCAGCAGAAGATAAAATGGATATGTTGACATTTCTTAATAAAAACTATCCAACAGCAGAAGATTTCCTTTTATCTGATGTCAAGAAGAAGTATAAAGAAACTTTCGGCATTGTTAAAACATTCGATGTACTAAAAGAAGAAATAGAAGCTACGAAATTGTTTAGGATTTCAAATATACATCGTACAATTCATGTAAAACGCTTGTGAAAAAAGAGGTGAAAAACAGGTGAAAAAACGGGTGAGATCTCACCTCTTCACCTCAATTATATTTTTGGTCAAAGCTTCCACGAGAGAAAAGATTCCTCATTCGCTAAGGATTCCAAAAATGAAAAAATCATTGATTTCGGCTGAGAAAAAACAGCAAAACCCTTCTTCCACGGGTTCTTCCACGGGAACAAAGAAATAAAGAAGAAATAAAGTAATTTTTTTATTTATTCCCGTGGAAGATAGAGCACTTTTATGACACTTTTTATTCACGACAAACAAGACAAACAAAGAAAATAAGAAAATACGGCGCTGTCGCGGTTCGAACCACAGACACTGACCCCTCCATAACACCACCTTAGACCACTGTGCTACGTAGCCTGTCGACATAAGATTTTATAAATTGCATATCTGACGTAAATTTATTTCCATCTGGCTTCCCACCGCATAAGATATTCATACGTGTTTGTAAGACATTCATTAAACTTCTTTTCTATTGCATCTAATCTTGCGTTATTTTTTCAATAACTTGTCTGTATTCTTCATCATTGTTAACCAATTTTTTATCTACAAATTTTTATTAGTGTTTGATTCCTTCGTTATGATAACGGTCATATTCTTTCAATACGTAAGTGAAACAAAATGCGTCGTACCTTCAATCTTAAAGCTTAAAGAACTTTCAACACAGTTTTGAGGGTCTGTCATGCGTTCAATGAGATAGTTTCGAAGTCAGTCAATAATCTTTTTAAAGTCATTTCATACAGGATAAAATTTAATGTTGTGAAGAAATAGTGTTTATCTCAGAAATAACGCTAATTTTATTTTTATTTATTTTTTTATTTTGTATGTAAAGACAGTAATGTCAACATCAGAGAACACAACAACAGTTATAGTCCATGAAGCTATAAATGAAGAATACGAATACATACAGTATAACAAACAGTTACTCTCATTCGTTCAGTCAAAGAGACATGTACCAAATGCAAAGTATAATGAATGCTCTTCGTTCTACAAAGCAAGCATATCATTGGTTTGAAAACCAACAGACAAAAGAACTTTTAGAAGAATTTCCTCATATGATTGCTTCCCTCGGAAAACCGAGAGAAGAGATTCCGTACGAAAATCGCAAGAATTTGGCTCCTGGTTTGAAAGGTTATTATGTTCATAGACTTTTAGTAAATGCTGTAGCAATGTGGGCTTCACCTCGTTATGCTTGTTATATTTTCATGATGTTAGATGAACTATATAAAGCAGAACGTGGAGAGATGGAAAAGAAACTTCAAGCAAAAGATGAAGTCATTGAATCCAAAGACAAAAGCATACAGAAAAGAATAACGTTCAGTACCAAAAGGAAAGGAAAAGAGTTATAAGTATATGATATTACTGAAGAGTTGGAGAAAGAAGAAGATAAAGATATGGTTATGTTGCATTTAGTCAGAAGAAACAACAAGAGCTTTTATGACTTAGCTAAAATATTAAATCTGACAGAAACTGGTTCTATCGTGAAAACTTACCGATTTCAATGACACCGAATGAGCAAATAAAGGAAATTGTCAAAAATACTCTTCCTCAAACACACTATGACATCAAAGGTTGCACAATACTTACATTCAAAGAAGACTTAACATTACTGAAGGAAAAAATAACAGAATATTTCGATAACTTCAAAGAGGAAGAATAAAAAAATCTAAGCTAATTTTATTTTTTTTTATAAAATTTTATCTCATATGAAAGAACATGAATTTAGAATATTCGGAACTCATGACAGAAGAAGAGAACGAACAACATGTAAAAGATTATGCAAAATTTCTGAAGACATACAAAGCATTTAAACAATATCTAAATGCTTCTAAAGATTATGCAAAATTTCTGAAGGTATATAAAGCTTATGAAAAAGCGTATGAAAGTTTATACATTGGGGAATTGTTGTAAAATATCGATATGAAGACTAACCAAAAATATATTTTTGCTTAAATAGCTTCAGGGTCTATTTTTCAACCATTTCACTTCCTTCGTCAATGTCAATAGAAGCTTCTTCAACCTTTGGTAAGAATTTCTGTATAACATCTTTGTTCGTTATTGTCTTCAGAGATGAAGGATAATATTTCACATTTGTTTCACCCTTCTTATATTCTTTCTGTTCGGAAAGATTTAAAGCAATACTGAAGAAGTCAATATTAGAGTTCTTTATAACAGTATAATGAGTATCTTTGACATTCACGAAGAAACTCTTTTGTTTCAAAACTACTGCTAACTCTTGTGAAGTATAACGTTTGCGGTCAATGACGATAGCTAATGGTCTGACATACTGACCAAACTTAGATTCTTTCACAAACTTCTTGTTAAAGATAACATTAACATTTGAAGCATTATTGAACTCATTCTTGATGGCAGTAGCGAGAGCATTGTATGAAAAGAACTTGCAATCTTGCATGTGTTTCATTAAAATAAAAATATTAAATTATTTTGAAAAATAACTTAAAAAATGTAATCTAATTTTTCAAAAAAAATATTTTTTTTATTTCCTACTAAAGATGTATCGGAAGTTGTCTAAGTTAGAACACTCGGAAATAAAACAACTTCTAACAGAAGCTAATATAGATGTTGCAAAGCATTACGCAACAAACAAAAAAGCACTCGCTGACATCCTCATGACTATAATGGTGCAATAAGTTATGATAGAATTCATGAGTTCATAAAGTCGCAACGCGGCGAGGACGAAGTCCATGCAAGAGCATTTCCTTTAAATGACGTTGCTATTGACTTATATCATAGACGTTCAGTACCTCATGAAGTAAGAAGAGAAATGTTTGACATAACAAATGCAAACGTTGGTGAAACAAGAAGAAGAGACGACACACTGAAACAACAGAGAAGAGAGATGTTTAAGAGCGCTATAGAACAAGTTCGCAAAGCTAACGATGTCATTCGTTCCATTGACGACAAACCAAAAGAAGGTGAGAGATGGTTAAAGAAAGATGAAGAGAATAGGAAGAGAAATGTGAAGTCAGGCAATAGACTCATTGACTTTAACATCGAAGCTTTAGATGAACCAAACAGAGACTACTTACACAAACATTTCGGTAAGGTTTTCATGAGACTCTTAGAGAAAATTAAAATAAACTCACAACAGAGATGGATGGTATGTTATAAACTTGGTGGAAAGTATGAATGTTCTACGTTAAACCTCAATAATATTGGAACATTACTACATCAGCTCTTGAAGGAGAACTTTATATCAGAGATAGAAGCAAATGCTGCAGGTATTGTTGAAATGCACTATGACTTCTTCTTGACAAACATAAAGAATCTTACTGAAATAAAGATGTATGATTTAACAGAATATGAAGGCTTAACGATGTCAGATGTAAAGAAAGGCAAACCAAAAAAGAGACCATATAGAGATGAAAGCACACTGACAAATGACCAGAAAGCCATTTTGGAAGCTCTTAAGCAAACAGGAAACCCAGCACTTATAGAAAGCTTTTGGAAAGATAATGGTGAAAAGAAGTTTTATAAGAAGAGAAGCGGTCAGTTCTGGAAGTATCTTTGCACATTACCTATAAATCTTGAACGCTACCAAATCTTCAATGAATGAACAAAAGAACTGCAACACTTATGACAGAAGACAATTGTTTCGTTTATGCTTGCATTCAGGCTGGAGTAGATGGAGAGACTATTGACCACATGAGAGAAGTCATTCGTGTTAGAGACTTTCCTCAAAGTAAAGTACAAGAAATTTCTGACGCAACAGGTATAGCATTTAATGTTACCATTGGTTATTCAATGACTCAAGACATAATGAAATAAAGAGATACATACCAAAAGAATGTAAACTGTTAGAACTATTGACTTACTTCTTGTTGAAGACCACTACATGCTAAATGAAAGATTACCAATGACAACATATTTCATTCGCAACTATATAGAAATTCTCAAAGCTTGTGGTGGAATGAACATTGAGAAACAGATGAAGATTTATACAAAGAGAGAAGATAAATATGTAGTTCGTTATGATAGAACAACACCGTTATGGGATGTTATGAAAACATTGTGGGAGTGCAAATATTTCGAACCTATTTCTTATGGAGAACTTTTCACATATACGACTGACTTATATAAACAGAACCTTGCACCATTTAAAGATTTGACATATGCTCCAAAGTATTGTGTACAACTGAAGAAGAAAGCCGAGTCAAAAGAAGTAAATAAAAATAAGTGCAAGTTCATTCCTGAGCACGTTTTCTTTGCTGACTTTGAGTGTACTGATGGCTTTCATAAAGCTTTAACATTGTTATGACAGTGAAGATGGTTCAGTGAGTGAAAGCATTTGGGGTCAGAACTGTGCAACAGAATTTTTGGAACGACTTCCTGACAAGAGTTTAATATATTTCCATAACCTCAGTTATGATATAAACTTCATCTTAAGACACATGACAGAAGTGAAAGGAACTCCATCATTAAAGGTTCTGAACAATGCAAATAACTGGCTTATATAAAGGAAGGCAATTATTATAAAAGACTCTTACAGTGTTATAAATAAGAAGCTTAAACTATTTCCTGCTATGTTTAACTTACAAACAGGACCGAAAGAAGTATTTCCATATAACTACTACAGCAGTGTTTTTAGCAAATGACAACAGAATGGTGTCATTTCTGAAGCATGTAAGTTTATCCGGGATGCAGATACATTCATGAAAAACATAGATTCCATCAAAAGGTTGCAGAATAGATGAGAACCACTTCGACTTAGAAAAGTATAGCACATTTTATTGCAAACAAGATGTAAGAATTTTAAGAGAAGGTTTTGTTAAGTTCCGCAATGACATATTGAAAGAATTTGATTTAAACGTTTATGACTACGTTAGTATTTGTTCAATTGCTAACAAATTGTTTGAGAACAGAGTGTACTTCCCGAATGGAAATTTATATGACCTCTCAAATAAACCAAGAGAATTTATTTCACGCTGTATTCAAGGTGGAAGATGTATGCTGTCAGATAACATTAAACAAAAGAGCGAAAAGAAACTCATTGCTGATTTCGACGCTGTTTCATTATATCCATCAGCTATAGCAAGACTTTATACTTTAGAAGGTATTCCAAAGGTTATGAAGAAAGAAATGTTAAGCACAGAGTATCTCATGAGACATTTATTCAACGACGACCAAAAGGAACCCATTGGTGAAAAGTTTATGTCTGGCTTCTTTGTTCTCATTAAGATAACAGAGATTGGAATACATAGACACTTTCCTTTAATAGTTTGTGACCCTGAACTAAATCCAGAACTTAACGTTCCCAGAAGTTCAAACACTTGCTGTTTAATGTATGTTGACCATATAACATTACAAGACCTCATAAAATATCAAGGTGTCAAATGTGAAGTGTTGCAAGGATACTATTACGATGGAAACAGAGATATTAGAATAAGAGATGAAGTAAAGAAGTTGTTTGAGTTAAGGTTAAAGTATAAGAAAGAAGGAAATCCTTTGCAAGAAAATATAAAGCTCATTCTGAACAGTATTTATGGCAAAACTATTCTATCTCCTATTGAGTCAAAAATAACCATAGTAAATGACAAAGATGCTATAAGATATGCCATCAGAAACTACAACCATATAGTGAAGTTCGAAGGTTTGGATGGTTCAGATAAAACTATTTTCAAGCTAACGAAAAGCATTTGCAGACACTTTAACTTCTGTCCACTTGGTGTTAATATCTTATCTATGTCGAAGAGAATAATGTGTGAAGTATTCTGTACTGCTGAGGACTTAGGAATGGACATCTTTTATAGCGATACGGACAGTATGCATCTGTACAATGAAGATATCCCTCGTTTAGCTGAAGAGTTTGAGAAACGTTATGGAAGAGTTCTCATTGGTAAAAACCTTGGTCAATTTCATAGCGACTTTGCAGAAATCACAAAAGATAAACAAAGTTTAGCATACAAGTCAATATTTTGTGGAAAGAAGACTTACATAGACTTACTCACGAATGATTTAAATGAAGTTGCATTTCACTGCAGAATGAAAGGCGTGAAGCAAGATGTTATTGCTTTAACCGCTAATGAAATGTTTCCTGACTCTGTTCAGTGTTTCTATGATGAAGATAAAGGTTTAATGGTTCCGCAAGGAACATATGACAAAGACTCTGAGTTCAGTGTTATGAAGTTATATAAAGCACTTTATGACGGTCAAGAGATTGCATTCGACTTATGTAAGTCTGCTACACCTGCATTTGAAGAGAAGTTTAACTTTTCTATTCAGACTAAGACTTCATTCATAAGAAAGCTTAAGTTCTGAGGTCATGAATGAGAAAAATAATGAGGTCATTTATTTTTGTCAGCAGTGAGACATTCATGATAAAAATAAGCCGCTAGCGGCAAGGGCGAAGCCCATGTGGTCATTTACAATACTGGCGATGGTAGAGTTTAAGAGTTGTGCTTCAATGTAGAGACAGTCCTTATGGTCTGGAGGTAAGAACACTGGGCAGTTATGGTCATGAGTGGAGAACATGTCTATCCAAAACTCACGATTGAAGCCAGTTAATTTATAGTATTTAGGGTTAGGAAGTGGTGAAGTTCTTGTATGACCAATGAACTCATTTTCAACTCCCTTACTTAAGTTTGAATATAATATAGCTTGCTTTCTATCCCAAATGCCAGGTGTTACAATCTTTGAAATTCATTTTTCCTCGGAAGCATTGCATCATAATTGAAAACATTTTTGAAATCATCACTTGGTTCAGAGATTTGAAATCTTATACGTAATGGATTTTCTTTCTCTTTAGCGACTTCATTGAATGGTGAGAATACAACAAACTGACAGTCATGAGTTCCATCTTCATTTTCATTAAATTCATAATGAAAGTCTATAAGTTGTGGCTGACTACCTTCTTCTTTCAGTTGTGCAAGAAACTCACGTAAAGGCTGTAAAGTTTGTACTTCAATGTTAAACTTTTTCTCGAACATTTCATTAAATGAAATCATACATTGCAACAATGTTGTATCGTCTTTAAAGATTTGTATATGTGAATGTTTTGGGCGCTTAAAGACTGTTCGTCATTTTCTATCTCGACTTGAAGTATAAAGTCAACCTTTCTGAAAGCACGTGTTATATACATAGATGTTATGCCAATGTATTTCTCTTCATTTATGTTCACAATCCAGTCTGTTGGAAACTTAAACGTTACTCTGTTCCCCTTTATTTTGACGTCAGGGTTTTCACTACTGAACGCAACAGATAAAGGTATTTGTCTATACATTTAATTCGGATAAAAATAAACCATTTACTCTTTCTTTGCTTCAGCTTCTTTAGCTTTTGCTTCAGCTTCTTCTCTAGCTTTTTTCGCCAGTAGTCTTGGGTTCTTTTGTCTTCCAGCAGCTAATGCAGCAAGTTGTTTTTCACTAAGTTTTCTCTTTGGTCTCTCTGGCTTTTGTTCTTGTTTTTGTTCCTTCAGTTCGGATAAAATTTGCTCACGAATTTCTTTCTTCAATGCTTCAACATCTATGACCCCTTGGGTCTTGTCCGTAGGGCTTGCCTGAGTCATTTGACTGCAGAGAAAAAACAAAATTAAAACTTTAACCGATGTAAAATGAGCTTGTCAAAATCAGAGCGAGAGTCTATTATATTAAATGACGCAAGAGGAATACAACATCCTTTCTATTACGTAAGTCAGAGTAAAGATGGTAAAATATACGTAAGAAAAAGAAAGGTTCCATTAGCGAATGCAGAAAGCGACAACATTAAGGTGTATGGTAAAGGTGAAGTCCACGAAGCCCATATAAAACCTTCTGTTCAAACTGAGCCACCAAAAGAACAAGAAGAAAAGAAGCCAGATGTACTTTCAATAACGAACCAAGAGCTTATTGCAAAGTTCGTGAATTTCATTGAAAAACAAACCGAGTCAAAGAACCCTGACCCACCAGTGAAAGAAGTTGAGACAAAAGAGAATGTACAGTTCATTGAAAATGTCAAGAAACAACTTCCACCACGAATGCCAAGAAGAAGAGTGAGAATAATGAAGTAAATAGATATTTTTATCTGAAGTAAATACATGCAGAACGAACAGTTAAACGAATTTACTCCAGCAGAGCATATTCATCAGATTCGCTCATATTTCGATATCATAGACAATGCAGTTCAAATTGGTGACACTAATAGAAAATATTCTGACGCAAAGATTCCATCACAACCTGGAACTGCTAAAGATAACACATGGGTAACATTCAATCTCTCACCTCCTGGTGAAAATATGTTGGACCTTTACAATACATTCATTACGTATAAAATGGAAGGTCAATTTATTGTAGATAAAGAAATTGGTTCAGGTTCCAATAAAACAAACCCACCAGGATTTTGGATTGGTTTCGATGACGCTTTCTATGCAGTTGCTGGATATCAAATCCTTGCAAATGGTCGTATCGTATATTCTCAAGACAACGCAAGAGAAGAAGCATATATAACTTCAAACTCACAAACTACCGAACAAATAAAGAAAGTAGATGTTTTCTCAAAGACTCGACATGAAGATGTATGGAGTCATTCGGGAACATGCAGAACAGGACAAATTGTTAGTGGTCCAATTACAGCAGGAAAATCATTTGATTTTAAGCTTCGTTTAAGAATTCCTGTTAGAAGATTCCTTCCATTAGAAGCTATTCGATTTATTCCAGCTTTTGCAGGAAACATTCAGCTTAAAGTAAAGTTCAGTAGCGACGCCTTACAATGCACATCTATATCTGTAAATGATATCATTGCTTTCAATCCAACTCTTAAAGTTGCATTTGCTTCAGATTCAAATCCACCGACAAATAAATTTGTTCCATGGAATGAACCATTAACTATGATAACGAAGGCAGTAGAAGCTAGTGGAACAGTTACTATTACAACTGTAACCCAGCAACTATTTCGAACAAAGATGGATTTTAATGAATGTTTCATTCATCCAAAGTCATTCTCTTTAGACCCTAACATTTATACAGAACTTGTAGAACATTATACAAACGAGGCTTTATGTTTTCCTGTTAAAGTTATGGATTGGATTCCTATGGACGGTTCATTCTCAAAGAATACAGATAGTTCAAGTGCAACATTTACAGCAGCTTATACGCCTATTAATGTTAAAAGTATTTGGGCACTATTTAGAAAGAAAGACAACTATTATGTTAATTTTGAGAACCCTAAGTTTAAATATCTTCAGCTTTCCATGGGAGCTTATGGAAATATACCTGCAGAACCTGAAAAATCATATGGACCTGTATTTTATGAAATGGTTGCGAACGCTTGCAATACAAACAATGATATGATAGGATTTAATGAAGATGTTATGAGGTCATTGGTGGATGATGGTAGTGTGGAACATAAATGGGATAGCTATGACAACACACATTTCTTATGTGGTTTTCCAACAGAAGTGGACTTTTGCTTCCAGCAAGGTCAAACATCTACTGCTCCAATAACATACAAATTGTCTGTTAAAGGACCTATTGAACTAGCAACTGAAAATGTACCAAAGCCACTTATTGGATTTATGAGGGATTGTTGCTTTGCCATTCAGGTGCGCACTAATGGAATCCCAATAATAAGATTAGATGACTATAACTTAGCTACGGACGACGGTGAGGAATAAAGGATGAACGTTTATTTTTAAAGCTTATAAATGAGTTCTTCATCAAGCTCTCGTGAACCTTCACCATCTATGAAACAAACTTTACCAAACGATTATGGAGCACCTATTGAATATTTCTTACGAGCTGCACAATGGCAAAGAGCAGTCTCACCAAGGTTAGGTGTTCCACCAGCTCCTGTCAAAAATAGCATTTGGTCAAGTCCTTATATAAGATATGGTCTCCCACTAGGTTTGCTAGCTACAGCAGGAGCAGTTATGATGTTGAAAAGAAATAAAGCAAATGTTGTAAATAATACTGAAGTAGCTGAAGTTAAACAAACTCCAACACCTTCGCCAAAACCAACGCCTTCACAAGCAAAACCTTCAATGACTCCTGAACCTATGGAAGTACAAACTCCTGTTCAAAAGTCAACTCCTAAACCTACTCCTCAAATAAATCGTAAAACTCCTGCGTTTCCTTACTGAAAAAATAACGTTATTTTTATTTAATATTAAAATTTTTATTTGATTGAAATGACAAATAAAGTCACTGAAGCAATGAAACAAAAGTTTTTGGTAGAATACATTAAATCAGGAACTATTCCAGAAGGTTTTTACATTCATACTATGAAGAATGGTAGAGTTCAGTTTAGAAAGATAAAGCAACCATTAGATAAAGAAGGAATTTTGAGAAAGATTAAACTTCATGAGGACAACTTTGCTGAACTTAAGAAGAAGTTAGAAGAGTTGGAGAAAGGAAGAGAGTTATAAAGCAATGAATTCAACAGGGTGAAAAAAGAGGTGAAAAAACAGGTGAGATCTCACCACTTCACCTAAATTTATTTTTGTGCTATGTTTTCATACGTGTGAGGGTGGTGATATCATTTATTTTTAAGTTTATTTTTTTTATTTTATTTTTATTTTATTTTTTTATAAATGACAGAACAAAAGCAACTCATACAAATCGAAAAATATAACAAACATACATTTAAACATTTATTCTTCCTTCCTGAGTATAACATGTTCTTTACACTTCATCCTAGACCAGTTGACTATACATTGACTGTGTATAAAGATTGTCATGGTAGTTTTATAAAAACTTATGATGATGAAGGTAAGTTAACAAGACTATGCATTTCAAAACTTGAGAAACTTTATGACTTCAAGTATGACTACAATAGAGTTAACATTGACGATGAAGATATAGAAGAAAATTTATGAGAACGTTTATTTTTTCATTAGTGAGTTCGTTAGCGAAGTCGTTAGTGAGGTGAAATGGTTGGCGGCTTTGTAAATATTTAAGGTTAAGTTAGTGTTGTCGTTTGATTTGTAAAATATACGTTAGTGGTTTTGTAAAGTGTCAAATTCACATATAATGGGTACGGTGGAACGCAGTGCCACAGTACCCAACTAACTCATACTAACTATTGTATCCCAAGTAATCAATGAATCTAATGGATTAAATGTTGCTCTTGAACAGAGAAAGCAAATGGAGAAGTTCTTTGCCGAACATCATAATATCTTTTATGAAACTGTTATGGCTTCATCATCAATTGATGCGTTAACGAGACAGATGCTCACATCAGGTGTTGGAGCATTCAGACAGAACACAGTTTTCCTGAATATCGATGGAAGATCTTCAACAGAAGTTCATGAAATGACGATGGAGATTTTGAAGGCAAAATACGGTCTTATTTTGGCCACTCGTCCTCATGATATCAATAACACATCCAACTACACTGATATCTACTGGTTATCCGATGAAGGAGGCCTCACTGTTCTTGCTGGCTACATTATTGCCAAAACAATGAAGAAGAAGATAAGAATCATCACTGTTGCTTATACAGGAAATGGAGACACAGTTGAAGAATCAGTTTTCAGAACAAAGAAACTGTGTGAAAAGTTCAGAATCGATTGCGAAGTTGTCGGTATGGAACTTTCCGAGAAGAAGAAGAAACCAAGTGCTTTCTCTACAGCTTACTGGGAGAATATAACTCATAAGAGTGCTTATGACCATGCTTTCACTCGATTCCTTTTGTTCTCTGATATGATAAGAGAATTCAGTAGCAGCTCTTGCCTTGTTATTTCAACTTTGTTTGTCCCAACAGATGACATGGATGCGCAGATTTACTGTGATATCCTTAGATTGATCGCTAACATTCCTCCTGCATTTTGCTTTGTCAGAGGAAATGGTGAAAATGTCCTTTCATGGAAGGCATAAAAAGTATATATAAATCTATTTTTTTCCCATTTGAAGTCGAGATAGAAGGTTTTGGGTGTATATTATATTGATATGTCCAAAATACTTATAATAAACTATCTTTATTTTTATTTTTTTTATTATTTTTATTTTTTTTTTCCAATTTTGAATTGCAAACGATTTTTTTTGCTTCTAATGCCGAACAGCATTTGAATCAAAAATAATCGTAGCATAGATAATTTCAAAAAAAAGGGTACGGACACTTTTTTTCTAACCGGATTTAAGCCATATACTCAAGAGTATAGATTTCATATAGACCACATATACAAAATGTGTCGTATGAAGAAAATTGGTCTTGCCAATTTTGTGATATATTGATCTAGAATTATATTAGAAGATCTAAGTTAATAATGCATATACCGATGCTCTGCATCATTTTTGTAGCTTGAATAATGCATAAATATATCATTCTTCAAAAGATTCTGTGAGAATTTGTTTCAATTTTTTAACAATAATGAAGTATCAGTAGTTATTTCTGCAGAAATTCAATAACACATAGTGAGCAACTAATGATACCTCCTAAATTTAGGCTTGAAAAACTTGATTAGAAAATACTTCTATGAAAAATTGATATTATCGTTTTATAACAGTCCTTGAGTAATGTACTAATGTTATGGATCTGATTCATTAAGTTGAGCTGACTCAAAAATGGTTTTAATCGATGATATTGAATCGAAATACACATTTTTAAAAGGAATGTATAACTTTTTAAGATAAAATTATAACCTAATCATCAAGTACACTCTAGTTATATATGAAAATCTATCTTAGCTTTAAATCTAAATTCCAAAAAAAATTCAAAAAATGAAAAATATAATTAAAAAATACAATTTTTAGAACAAAATTCCGAAATTAAGATTTTTTGAAAAATTAAATGTGTTTTATAATTGATCTTGATGCAATATATTTCCTTTTGTTCCCGAAAAAAGTCAATATTTCTTGATTGCAAAATTTAATTTTAAAAAACGAACAATTTTTGATCTAAAGAAGAACTATTTCTGGTCAAAATTCAAAATCAGATAGATTTACCGAAAGAAATAAACATAAAATTTTTATAATTATAAAATACAATTATTTCGAAGATGCTACTTGAGTTACATGTAACCCAAAAGTAATCTTCTTTGTGTAGGGGTAAAACAAGTTACAAGTAATAGAAATCCATAATTTTTATTGCTGGTTGTGCTTTTGCACTAATATTTATTTGATAACTGTATGTAGTTCATTATGATAACAGCTAATTTACAAGTTAACTAATTGGTGGTGTATGTTTTTGATGAAATGCAATTCGTTTCTAAAAATTGGCAAGACAGATTTTTCTCATTTTCTACGTACTTATTATATATTTGTACCTGATTTATTTCCATGATTTTCAAAGAGAAAGCGCGGTCTCAAAAAAATTTCATAAATTTAATTTTTTATAGTAGAGATTTTCCGATAGTATTATAAGTGTTTTCGAATTTTAGTAATCTTGGCTGATCAAATGATGAGAAATTTGATAGGTTGCAAAAAATCAAAATATGTTCTTTTTTGTAAACTTTAATTCATGCAACAAACATTGCATTCTCTTAAGGGTATACTAATGCTTTGTTTGCTCTAAAATCTTGGTTAAATTCAAAGGGTATTACGAGTTGTGAAGCCAACAAATGCCCTTTGATTTTTTAGAATTTAAGGTTAAAAGTGTCCGTACCTTTAAAAAAAGAATAATATTTTCATATTGTATTTAAATATTAGTACTTTATATTGATATGAATAATATATTACATAATACAAAAATATATTTAAAATAAATTAGTGTTTCTTACCTTTTCCTTTCTTTCCTTGCTTAGGTTGTTCTTTCTGTAGCTTGTTTTCTTCACCGTTGTTGTTTTCTGTTGGTTGCTCTTCTTGATTTTCTTGTTGCTGATTTTGAGTTTGATTTTTGTTTCTAAAGAAGAGATATGCTATCGTAGCTATTGTAAATATGGACGCTTTGAAGTCTTTTCCTGGTGGCATTGGATCTGGCTTTTTCATCGAATAAACAGTAATTTCATTAGAATTGTTATCGTAAAAGATTAAATTTAAACATAGATATGTGAGCATGTTGAGAGAAAATGTTATGTTAGTCCCTAAAATCTGGCCAAATGCGTTAAGTAGATTATTTTGTTCGAAATCCAATTTAACATCTGTAACATGTATTTCTGAGTCATCTTCTTGGTAAAAAACATGGAAAGTGTCGCGGTCGGTGCCATTAAATCTCAAAATAAGGTGATATTCAAATGGCTCTTCAGAATGTGAAGTGATTTTAAGATCTCCGATAAGAGCATCTTCTTTTGGATGAGGCTTTAAGTTAATATTGTATGAACTTCCTGTTGAATTTGAAGTTAGTTCTGTAGAAGTGATTGTCCAATTTCCAAACATAAGCTCATCTCCCCAAACAGGATTTCTTTTTGGCCTTGTATCTCTATAGGCTAGGAAAGTCAGAAAGGAAATCATCAAAACTGTAATGAAAAGGTTTTCTGACACTAAGAAACTTTACATAAAGTGTCAAAAAGGCAAATTTAGGAAAAGTTATTTGTTGAAATATATAACAGTTATCCAATATAAGCTTAAGGTATTTAAAAAATGAGTGTGAAAGTCAAAAGAATTGATTAAAATTAAACAATTTGAAGGACCTAGAGTCTGCGATGTACTAGTTATATATCAGTTCATCGTATACTCTAGTTCCAAACCAAAAATGCATGAAATTGAGTGGCAATGTTGACATTGCACTCAATATCTCGCAATTTTAGCTGGTAATTGGTGGGTGAGAGTATCATTGCATGAAATGATATCTCTCACTCTCCAATTCTTCCTATAATGCAAAAAAAAATAATTCAAAATATTTTTTTATTCTAATCATAATAACAACACTATATCAAAAATTTTAATCTAATATTTTCTATACATTTTTTTGCCAAATCTTGTTTAAACATCATAATCATTATCAGAAGAGTCAATATCATCATCAGCAAAAGCATGGCTTGCCTTTTGAAGTTGAAGAGAAGAAATATGATTTTCAAACTGAAGTTTCTCAATTTGACGATCTAATTCTTGTATGATAGCCTTATTTTGAGTAATCATTGATTGCGTGCTGATAAGTTGTTTATCAATGTTTTCTTTTTGCTTTTGCAATCCATCTAAATTATTAACAGAGATTTGTGATACTTGAGTTTCAATCCTTGAAACATCATTAGATAATTCTTCATGAGCTTCACTATCCTTCAACATCATATTCGATATTTCATCACACTGATGCTTATATGCAAGACAAGCTGTCCTTATATCAATTGCAATTACTTTCTTTTTCTTGAGTTTTTCTTGAATATCTTTAATTTTCGCACGTATTGTTTCCATGCTTTCATTATCTGTATCTGTTTTAATGCGTTGTGCAGCTTTTCTCTGTTTGAGCTGGGATCTTTTTTGTTCAAGAGCTGCTTTTGATTTTTCAGTAACTATTGGTATATTCATTTTAAGCGTTGCTATTTCGTCCTCGTATTTCTGGCATGTTGACTTGAAAAGATCATCAATTCTGTTAAATTCAATTTGAGCAATTTCAAGTTTTTCTTTGTTTTGCTGAGATTTTTGTTTAGTCTGTTTGTATAAGTTTTCTAAATCGGATGCTTTTGCTGTAATGACTTCTAGTTGTGTTTCAAGCGAAGCTTGTTTTTCTATTTCATTATGAATTTTTCCAATAATTTCCGTAGGTGAACATGAATAGATTTCTGATAAAGAACTGTTCTTTTCTTCCAATTTATTAGTTGTAGAATTTCTCCATTTATCGAAAAATTGAGAGATCCTTCCTCTCTCAATGTAATATTTTGCATTTTGAACTACAACTAAACAATTTTCTTTATGCCGACGCATTCGTTTGAGTTTTGTAAAATATTTCAGACATTCATCTTCGTTAGGAATTAATTCTGTTGAATTTTCATCGTAAGATTGCAAACAATCGTTGCGATTTCGTAAAGATCTATATGCCCAATCTGAAAATGTTTTCATACGTTGTATTTTGTTGTTTAGATAATCAAATAAAATTCCACCACGCTTATCTTCAAAATTTGCTAGATCAGGGACGTCTTCTTGGCTTCTATCACTATATATACTAGTTGTGTTTGTTTGATCTTGAATCATTGAGGATGATTCAGACTCAGAATTCATTCAGAAAGACGTTTAGAAGATTAGACCTATTTATAAATAGCAGGGGATTTATAAATATACCCCCTTATTTGGAATTTCCAATTAATTGGAAAAACCACCCGATTGGAAAAACCGTCGCAATTGGAAATATTGCGAGATTGGAATTTCCAATCTCTCAATTGGAAATTCCAAATAAGTTTTTATTTGGAAATTCCAATTCATTTGGAAATTATAAATAAGATACCTTATTTATGAATACCCTTATGTTTGGAAATATAAGGGCTTTTAGAAATTAGAAAAAAGAAATTTGAAATTGGAAAAACCAGAGTATTTTGATTATACTATAGGTGAATGTAAAAATTTAATTAGTATATATTACATTTAAAAACTATTGCATTTTATCAAATTTTAAGGGTATAGTAAACTCAAAATTCTAGAGTTTTGAGAGTGCCAATAAACTCTATAGGCCTATATATATCTATATTTTAAAGGAGAGGTTACGCCATAATATTTGATATTATAAATTATTAATTCAAAATAAAAGTAGAAAATGAAACCAATTTTATTCTAACCTATATAAATATATCAATAATCTAAAATGATTATAGTCTGAACTATATTTTACCAGATTATCAAATATAAGAGAAATGAAATAAGGCATAAAAATATCATAGCATAATTATTGGATAAATGCATTAATAAATTATTTATATCATAATGAGAAAAAATCAAAATAAGAAAATGAGCATAATAATAATTTAATTAAAACCAAAAACAATAAATAAAATGTAATTTTCGTTAATCAAAGTCATCAATGTCTTCGTCTTCTGATTCCCATTCGGACTTGAAAACTTGATAATCTCCTCCTGGTACACTCTGAATGGATTTTTTGTATTTATTCTGTTTTTTAGAACCTTTTGTAACAGTTTTTTGTTTCAATATCATTTTGGAGTAACAATTCTCTTCAAATGATTTGACACAATCTTCTGAAAGTGGGGGAAGATGTAATGCTTTTTGTATATCTCCGAGAAAATGCTCTGGATCATTCCATTCTAAGATTGCAACGTTAACTCTAATGTTAATGTTCTTCAAGGCTCTTGATTTGTCCAAATAGCATGCAATTTTGGAGTTAAACGCTTCATTCATGCAGGTAGATCCAATGGAAGAAACTTTGGAAACTATGGGTGTCCATTTGTGAACCCAGTCATAGAGCATGAATTGAAGTTGGATCGAATTGACACCTTTTTGCCATTCAAAGCATTTGTAATTGTGCGGTTCGCAAAAAGAATGATTGCCTACGTAATGGTAGACACAATTCTCCCACATTTTCGTACGTTTGTCAATATTTTCTTCGGCAAAACATGACCAAAGCCACATACTTAGGCTTGCATTCAGACCCCAGAAAGGTCTCTCTATTTTTTCAATCTTCTGAGTCTTGTCGTTGAAAACTTCAACTGTCTTATGAGAAGCTGAGAACTTTGTAAAATCTTTTGAGATATTTTTTGATACATGACCTGGATCGAATCTTTCAAGATGAGAGACGCCAAATTCTTTAAAGACAGAGACACTTTTGTTATCTCGGTCTTTAATAATCTCTTTAACATCTTTCAAGATATTGTATTTCTTTAATTGCTTCAAGATGATTCGAGTTCCAGCACTTTCCATATTGTTGGAAGCTCCGGAATACTGAGCATGCTGTCTGTTTCCACCAATATGGTTGATGTTCACGCATGCAAGAACTCTTTTTGTGACAGCATCGAGCGCAGTTACTGTACAACTTGGCGAGTTTCGCCTGTGCGTCCATCTTGCATCAATGGATAGTAAGGACTTTCTCGACAGCATTAGGGAAATACTTTTAAGTCTTCTAATCTTATCGTCACAAAAATCTCTGTTGTCTCATGACACCACTCTTCACAGGGGGCTTAGTTCCACAAAGAGAAAGAAAGCGAGCACCTTTTGTATATGGCATTCCGGTCATTATGCAAGCACCAAGCATCTGTCGCGCTGAGAGTCGACGACGTTCGTGGAGTAAAATGTTAGGCATTGCCTTTGTTTTCCGTTTTGGGTGAACAATATGGCCCATACAACAACAAAAAAAATGAAATCCCGCCAAAAGTGAAAATTGAATAAAAAGTAATAATTAATATATATACTATATCATTAGATGAATATTTTGGAATAACATTTTAAAATCGAGGTTTTTCAATGGATAACGGTTCAATCAAAAATTAAAAAATGGAACATTTCTGTCGTTTCAAAATTCCAAAATAACGTTTCTATTCCTCTCAAAAGTAAAAATAAACTTTATTGGAGAAAAAAATATTTTTATTTTCCAAAAAAAAGAAAACCTTAAATGCAAATCTAATTTTGATGCTTTTGTTTGTGATTTTTTGGATTTCGAAAAAATTTGAAAATTCAGACAAGTTACCATTAACACTAATACGTTTCAGCGAGTCGGTCCCATCAGAGAAATTTTCATAAATCGGCGATATAATTTATTATTTCAGCAAAATATTCTCAGATCCAACTAGAATAAGGTCATATTATACAAATTTAGCAAAGGCTAGTTATCCTACCTATTCAATTAACTTTAATTTTAAATAATTCAAGACAATTCTCAAAATTACCTTAATAATCGCGTTCTCTTCGCAAAATGACGATTCATCATTCACTACCAGCATAAACTGAGGGCTTGTGCTCACAGAATAATACAGATAATTTACTTATTAATGCAAAATTTAGTACCAAAAGGTAATCATAGAAGATACAAAAAAGTTTCTTTATTTTGATTGCTGATTTTATTTCTTCTAAAATTTACCAAATCTAAAAAATCCAAAATTGAATGCTATTGAATTTCATGTTTATGTAACATATACTATTTATTATATAAGGAATAAAAATTTTATAGTTTTAATCAAAAATAAAGGTGTACTAAATGCATACAAAACAAGGTATTTTTACTCATCCAAAATATGTTAACAGTGCTATTTATATAATCAATATTCGAATTTCGAAATCATTTTGATGAAATCTTTATTTTAAAATTGAGTTGACTGTTAAAATCACCCGAGAAGAGGGATTATCTCAATGAAAAGTGCATAAAATAGCAAACGCACAAGATGACACTATGCAGCTTTATATTGTTATACAGGATGAACATATAAAATGTTTGGAAAACACTTACTTCGTTCTACAAATGTGTATCTCTTTATATCAAAGATTCTTCTCAAATTATTGAGAGACTTCTCTCAAAAAAGGAAAATTTGATAACTAAAAAATTATGGCATAACCTCTCGTTTTGCATAGATATATATTTACATGGTCACAGAGCTTATTTTCATTGTCAAAACTTAAAAATTTTTAGTGGACTATACCCTTAAATTCAACAAAAATTTTGTTTTGTTTAATAAGATAATATAGGGCATATTTCCAATTTCCATTTCTAATTCACAATTGAAGTTTTATTTATAATTTCCAAATGAATTGGAATTTCCAAATAAAAACTTATTTGGAATTTCCAATTGAGAGATTGGAAATTCCAATCTCGCAATATTTCCAATTGCGACGGTTTTTCCAATCGGGTGGTTTTTCCAATTAATTGGAAATTCCAAATAAGGGGGTATATTTATAAATCCCCTGCTATTTATAAATAGGTCTATTTATATAAAAAATATCTTCCTTATATACTTTCTAACTTAAATACATGAAATATAATATAAGGGATTGTTATGTAGAGAGGCCGACGTCATAAATAGATATTTATTTCAATCAATATGGGTTGGGTTGGAGTTGTCTCCAACGTGGTGTTACATTGTAAACTTCTCAATATTGAGTGGTTTACGTCATGACGCCAGCGAAATTTAAGGGGGTAACTTTGAATAGTTGTAAACTTTTTCGTAATTTGGACTTTATTCATCCTCAGATTGAGCGATTTGAAATTAAATGATAAATATATATTATGCAATATATACCATACCTATAATTAGTAAATGATATCTCTAGGTTAGCTACAAACGCTTAGGAGACTTAGCAAAATATATATATATATATATATATATATAAATTTGAAGAATGACTCAATGCGTAGTATATTTGGAACTATAAAAATATGCAAACAATACTATAAATAAGTTTCCTGAGATACGTATAAGAGCGCTTTTTGGATATTTTAGTTAGTATACAAGTATTGCGTATGGTGGCACTGCGTTCCACCATACGCAATACTTGTGAATTTGACACTTTACAAAACCACTAACATATATTTTACAACACAAACACAAACAATAACTTAACCTTAAATATTTATAAAGCCGCCAACCACTTCACCTCACTAACGTTTTCACAAACGACTTCACTACTGTAAAAAATAAACGTTCTCACTTACAAGAGTATGCTACTCCTCCCATTGCTTCACACAATACTTCATATTCTTCAGTATCGCTGCTGTCGCTCCAATCGTCAGAGTCAAAGTCACTGTCAAAATAAATGTTAGTAAGTTTTGACAAAGCTAATGAAACACGTTTACCGTTTGTATCGTATGCTTGTATAAACTTTCCATTCTTCATTCCTTCATAAACGCTCAAACTAACTTTACCCTTTCTCTCTCGTATCTGATAGAATGTATTTTCACGAGGAACGAAGAACAAGTTCTTGAACTCATGACCGTTATAGTTTGTTATCTCAATAGTTTTCGTCATTTATATAAAAATAAAATAAAAAATAATTTTAAAAAATAAACTTAAAAATAAATGATATCACCACCTTCACGCGTATGAAAACATAGCCCAAAAATAAATTTAGGGTAGAAGGGTATTTATAACCCGATATCTAACCTCATTTCTACCCTATCCACTTTGCGGCTCTGACCCTTTGGGTCTCTTGAATTCATTGCTTTATAACTCTCTTCCTTGGTTTCTTCATTCTTCATCATTGACTTTCTCCAACTCTTCTAACTTCTTCTTAAGTTCAGCAATGTTGTCTTCATGAAGTTTAATCTTTCTCAAAATTCCTTCTTTATCTAA